GCTGAAGCTTACTGAACTACTCTGGCTTGATTAAATGCATGGCAAAAATCAAGCACTGGCCTACTTTCCAATCCAAGGGCATACAATGGCATGTGATCCTGCACCTTTCCTTTTGGATGGAGTCAAAGGAATAAGGGCGTACAAATAAGGTCATCTGTGAAAGATAGCTGGCATAAAACCAGTCATACACCAGACATCATCCTTTGCAGCCATAAATTCTTTAGCGAGCCGGATGTCTGGGGGAGAAAAAAGGGATGTGGAAAATGAATGTGCCTTAAACATGATCTTCATCGTTCTGATGAGTTAGTTATACATCCCTCTCCTATTGCTAAGTAGGAGGATATATTATGATAGCCATTCTGCAAAACATTCATCATCAGAAAATCAGCTTCCTCATTCAAGCTTGTCTGCTTAACACCTTCTTATTTGTGTATGAACCCAGTATTTTGTACTTGTAGGAGATTTTATATATATATATATATATACATTTTAAAAGGGAAAACAACATAACCTATTATACTGCTAATATGGTTGTCAAGAGGGAGAAGAAGGTATTGTCAGAAACTCAGAACTGGATATTTTAAAAATTTTCTTGTTCACAGCTGATCCTATAATAACCACACACAGACAAGATGGTGCTTTGATTCTTGTTTCTACCACTCAGAATTATTAACACTTGATTGTTAGAGCTAAATATTAAAAAAAGTATCTTCAGACTCCCTCCCCATCCTATTTCTTCTTCAGTGTTCTTGAAGTCATTTTGGATACTGCTCCTACTTTTCCCTCTTCACCCAAAACACTTGACATGCCATGTTTCCTGATTAATCACTGCAATTTTTTATGTGACTATTTTGTGAGAGATTAAATAAAAATTAAAAACACAAAACAACAACAACAACAAAACAAACAAAACAAACAAAAACCAACAAACAACAACAACAAAGGAGGATCATGGAATAAGTCTGGAACAAAAGATGCCAGACTGGTGTTATCCTCAGAAAACTTTTTTCTTTTTAGTCCCAATCCTTTTACTCTTGCACTGTCTCTGATTTTTGGAGGTTTATTGCTATGTACTTATTTGTTTTTTGCTATGCTATATATAATAACTACTGTTCTCTCTACACTCTAAGTTTCTTTATACCTTAATTTACACTTTTCCTCATCATATTCTTGTTTGTCTGTGTTTATTTTTCGTTGTATGTCCAAACCATCTGCTCTCAGCTTGTCCCTACATTCACTCAAGCCTATGCCAAGTGATCTAAACAGGCTTTAGCTGTAACTTGAAAATTTTAAAACTTGCCTCAAGCCTTTATACCTCCATCCTTCCCCTCACAAAAAGAGTTTGCAATTCCAATAATTTCAACAAGAATAACTAGTGTCAGGAGAATAACTGCTTGCCAGGGGCCTTTTTTTATTTTTTAAAGTATTTTGGAATAAGTAAGTAAGAGTAGTAAGCAAGAATCCCAAAGATACAACAGAAACAGTGTTAACAACCACCAATACATTGAGATTTAAGTTTCATTTTTAATCTACTACTTAACAGTGAGATAGCAAAGCAGAACCACACTGAAGTAATTTATTTGAAAGGTTTTTCATTATCTGAAAATTTGATACTGACAGCTTAAGTGTAAGATTCTAATTTTATATACAGAATGGAATCTGCTGTTTTGGGGAACTTACTAACTAGCCCATTAGACTAATTCATATATATTGCATATACACAGAGAACAGAATTCATAGGTTTCGACTGGCAGATTAGATGATGCTCAACTCATTTGCAAATGATTGGATGCCTGACAAAAATACAGGAAGAAACAACTCTTTGGTAAGAGTAATTTCCTATATGGGAATCTTGCTGGACAGTCAGCTCTTGACAGATGCTCCAAAAGCAGCAAATACACTGGGCATTTATTCCCATTTGTACTTTTAAGAAGATTGTGACCTTTCTTTTGACATGTATTCCCCACGGCTCTTCCACAGTCATCTTATGTTACCCTAATAAGCCAATGCCTATGGACTCTCGCTCGGAGAAGAACAGTACAACCAGACCCACAGGGATGATAGCTCAAGGAAACACTTAAATTAGTGTACCAGCTTTTGTAGTGGGTAAAAAACAAGACCAAGCACTTGAGCTTTGACCACTTTAGAGAGTTTTCCTCTTTGCTGCAACTTAGATTAGTGTTAGTCCTTGAGTAACCAGCCTTCGGGGTGTAACAGCTGAGGGCTGCCAGGAGATCTTCAACCAAGAGCCCTCTTCTCTGCAGTGCAGACACATTCTTTGTTTCTACACATCAAGGCAAGAAGCCCCCCCCCCCCCCCCCCATTTTATTCATCAGCAAGAGTGTCATACAAGATTGCTGTCTTTTCTAAAAGCATTCCTCCAGGGAATTAAAAGTGATCAGACAGTTTGAGAAAGGGCAATCTCAGCCTGCAGTGAATACAAATCAAATAAATAAATGAAATTGCACATCACTTAAACTTACTGCTGAGAAGTATTGACAGCAACATGGCCTTTTCCCTTTCCCTGGACTTTTCAAGTCTAACTTATATAGTTAGACTGCTCTTCCCTACTAGTATCCAAAATGCTCCTGACACTACCTGCTGCAAGATTTCAGTGGGCTGAAGGGTCATCAATAGGGCAAACTTAGTAGAGACTATTACATTTAATAGGGATTTAAGAGTCACTGCTTTGTGTGTTGCAGGCTTGTTTGTTTTCCAAAGAATTATAGCAGCAAATAGTAAATTCCAATCTCAGTTTAATTTCTAAATCAATTCTATGCTTTTAAAATTATTAAGTTATAATTACTTTCCATTACTTTAATTACTTTAAACTAGAAAAATCAGAAATAGTTTCTCACTCTTTTGACCTTGGTCAAGATTTTAAATGGTCTCTTTCAGATCAGTGGCTTAAGAACTCTGTGAAGTTTACAGTTACATCTCCTACCTGCCTAAAGGAAATAGTTCACATTTCTTTTATTCCAAACTCATATTGGAAAAGGAATAATTGGTTGGGGAGCAGAAGCAACTCAGTTACTGTAGACAGAGAGAATTTTGTAAGAAGCCCCAGTGAAACAAAATAACAACAGTTATAATTGTAATTAAAAAGTAGTATATTTGCATTTGCATAAATAGAACCCTTCTGAAAATGGATTCAGACTGCTAATATTTCCTAGCTGAAGGAAACTGAGTGATGACTTCCACTTCAGTTATGAAACCAAGGGAAACCATTTTGCTTCCTTTTTATCCCATCACACCCCTCCTGAACTATTTGCCTGATTTATAGGCTACATCCTCATCCAACAGAGATTTCCTTAAAGGTAGGAGGAGAAGATGATGTATTTTGAACAGGATTTGTTGATGGCTGAAGACTGTAACCCAGCCTCTAGCAGTGACAATAGCCAGCACTACAATGCTCACCTTGAATGAGACAGTATTGGGGAGGTCATCTCCAAACACTTAACAAAGATAAAAACTTGTGTTTGCCACGCTGTGATCTAAATTGCGTTTAATAAATTGAGAGGCAAAGTCTAACCAATCTTTTTACGTATGACAACACCATATTTGATTTATTGCAAAAGTAGTCAGTGTAAACACTAAATTTTTTTTAATTAGAAAATTATTCAGAAAAATAAAATCAAGAAAACTGTAGATCTTTAATTCAAACCATTCATAGAAAAATTTAAAAGGAACTGTGATAAAATCTGACCAAAAAAACCCAATTCCAAGGTACTCAAGTTACAGACTTTTGCTCACTTTTACCTTTGCTGCACCAAAATAGAGGCAATTCATGCAGTAGTTCTAAGCATAAAACTTCCTGATATAAAGTCAACAAGAAAGAGCAATTACATATTCTGACCTGTGTTTCTTCGTTTCTCAAATATTCTTAATACAAGGGTGATTTCTATTTGCATACTACAGTTTTGAAAGTCCACTAATTGCAAGACATTCTAAAATAAGTGTAAACTGTCTTGATGAGCACCATCCAATTTCTAATGGACAGGTGTTCACATAAAAATTCAACAGTATCAGCAACAAGCTAGCAGTAACTGGTGGGGTGAGGGGTATAAGAAATTATTTGGCTCACAGCTGAACTTCCTTTTTAACTACAGGGATGATCAAATTAAGTCAAGGTCGAGTATGTGACAGAGCAGCTGTGTCATGCAGCAAATGAGGACTACTGGGGGGTGTGTGTGTGTATATATATATATATATATATAGCAATACTGTTTTGATTTTCTAAGCTACTATTCATGTCTTGCAATTCAAAGCTGCTGCAGGAGAGAGAAAGTGGCCCCCTGCACTCTCAGCCTTTGAGTTTTACAGGTTCAACTCCTTCCCAGGCTGCTTGAAGCCTTCATGGTGGAGCAGCCTCTTAGCACTCACTACAGCACTTCAGTAGCCTAAACTCTTGTCTACAAGGAAAATTTTCCAGCTGTCCAACACAGCAACTGCTAACCAACAAACCTTCCTCCCACTGAAAGAGAGATGTTTAAATCTCCCTAACAGAATGAAATGACTGGACCTGGGGTGATGTTCTCACCTACAGAAAACTTTATTCTCAGACGTCGCTCATCTAGAGCTCCTATTAATTACTACAAACAGATGCTTTCAACATAGAATGGTTTGGGGACCTGTAATGCTTTGGCTTAATAATCTTGACTTTCCTGTTTCAGTAAATGAAAATAAATTGATTTAAAACAGTTAATTCACAGGTACTGAAAACAGTGGCTGTAATTTTTTTGGTACCCATCTGTCCTCCTCTTACTCCATCTGTTTCCTTCACTCACTGCACTGGAATCCAGCTTCACAAAATGTAATCCAAGCTCTTTCATGTAGCACAGTGTAAGTTACCTAGTTACCCAGCTGAAAGACATTTTCAAAATAAATCACCCTCCTTCTACTCTGTAGAAGGCAACAGACAGATTTTTTGGTTAATGTATGTCTGAGCAATCTTTCCTTCAACAAAATATAAACTGTCAGTAAATTTCTTCTGATTTCAGATGGAGCATTTCAAAATAATACCATAACGGCTCACCATTTTAATCAATTATTGAGTACACCTTGGGGATTTTCCACCAATTCCACTTGATGCTGCTTTTAAAATGGTAAGTACCTATTTAACTGCATGATTTATAGACTGGCTTAGATCTTTATAGCTAATACAACATATAAATGCAACAATTGTACGATTTAATTGGATTATATAGCCTTTATTAAACTGTGTTGACTGACTTTTTTTAATCTTCAACAATTCTTTGGCCTGTTAATGATTAAAGATTTGGATTTGACTCTTTACAGTAAATATAAGTGTTTAACAGGAAAAGAAAACCCAAGAAAGCCCTCCTCTCTTACAATCCAAAATGGAAGATACAATATAAAGGCTGAAATTAATTTTTTGAGAAATTTTGCATAGCACAAATACAAAAGCCACTACTAAACCCTGTGTGTTTTATGGGATACTATAAACAAAGGATATTTCCATTATTATCTAATCTTTAAGGCAGTCTGGTAAGTGAGGTCATTCAAAGGTCAGCAAGGGGGGGTTGCTGTTGCTCTATAAAAGGGCTCACACTTTAAATTTAAGTATGTCAGTGTTCATGGTGCCTTTAACTTTTACACTAATGGTATCTAGAATACCTACATGCCTTTGGTTTATGCATTTACCACTTCATTACTGGCATCACATTAAAAGGGAATAGTTACAATTTATTTGTGCTACAAAGGTCTTTTAACTGATATTGAATTTATACAGAATAGAATAATCAAGAATACGAGCATACATAATACAGTTTACAGGAACATGCATTTAAACACCCAACTTTGTGATTAGGATGATAGTAACCCTACTTATCACTTCAGGTTTTTTTAATTCAACACATTATTTTATCAAAATTTCAGTAGCATAACTACCTGAAAGAATTTTATTTAGTCAAAAGCTGTCTCTCTCTTGAGACATAGAAGTGTTTATAATATAAGGGAACTTAGAAATGTGTAGTGAGAACTTAAGGTAGAAATAAAATATTTTTCCAAGATGAAAACAGAAACAAGCCCTGGTAATAGCACTTTGTAAAACAGAACTTTCATATTATAGATCCATTATTTAGTATTTGCCATCATTTAGGCAGCTAAAAAAATGAGGATTGCCATTGTTTTAATCTTTATGAGTATTAAATACACATAAGCCCATTCTTCCTTTCTATGGACAAGTTTGAAGCACTTACAAATGAAAGCAAAAAACAAATGGCTGGCGTTAATCATACAGAAAAAAATAAGAGTCTATATGCCTCCTGTAGTCCTTTAAAAAGCATTAATATTTGCAGAAAGCTAAAGCAAGAAAACTCTTATATGTGAAAACACGTATCTTTTAGACTTCTGCTAGCTACTTACCTTGATCTGCTCTATAAATAGAAACTAATTTTGGAGAGACTAAAAACAAGACAATGCCCTAGGAAATAAGGGGCGGTCTTTTAAAGTGTCCTCAAAATGATGTGAGTAAATCTGTATCATACAGATACATATTTAACACATAAATCTTTTTGGTCTGATCTTCCTCCTTTTACAAGCTAAATAGTTAAAGTTTCACTAACTCCATTAAAGGCAGAATCAGTGTTGATACATTCTTTCACTAGTAAAATTTCCTGCCCTGCAGAGTATCAATATTAACTGTGAATGGCAGACCTGTAAAGACTCTAGTGAAAAAAAGTATTCAGTCCTGTAAATTAATACCTGAGCTCTGACTTTCAAGTGAAGACAGAGATCAGCAAGTCAGCTGCTGCTCATATTGCTTTCTTTTTCATAATCAAAAAAACAGAGGCTTGGGAAGTGCTTAGTAACCTAATCCAATCCTTTCCAGGAATTTGATACAAGCTTTCTTTTAACATATATTTATAAAAAAAAAGCAGAGAATAAAGCTAACTTCAGAAACAAGCATGATCCAAGGCTATAATTCAAACCTCAATGCTGACACAATATAGGGGTCAGCAGTGAGGTTGAAATTTCGAATTGATATACTGAGTCAGTTCCATCAAGGTGGGTGTTAGGGCTTCTCAGTTTCAAAAGGTAGCTCAGCTGCTGGATTTGGACAGTCATGTTTCACAGACTTACTGCAGAAGTGCATATCAAGCAGTTTCTTGGAGCAAATAGCAACATCTTTATATATTGGCAAAAGGAGGCTGATGAAGGACAAAACAGCAGGCACTTCAGCCACTCAGAGCTGGAGAGCATCATTAGAGGGACTGAAATGGACCTGGGTTGGGAAAGTTATTTTCTTTGGGAAAGGGCAGGAAGAGGTGGCTGGATGGAGCCACTGAAGTCAACCAAGTTAAAAGCTGCGTGATGGATTTCACAAAGTTAAGCACAACTGCGTCCTTTATTTTTAGACATCTGCACTAAAGGAAGGGAGATTAAGAAGCCTGAAATGATTATCCTTCACAAGCAAAGTCACTCAGAAATCTGATCTGTATGATTGCAGACACTTGTAAACATTGATTCACCAGGATACAGCACTGAGCTATAATTCACATTGTTTTAATACCACACAGCAAGCTGGCAGTCAAAAGATGTGTCCCATTAGAACAGTGTACAAACTGACAATTTGCCATGCTGCTTTGCAAAATCAAAATGGGAGGAAATATCTTTAGGTTTGCCTCAACCTATCGTCTGCCTACAGAAAAAGGCAAAACACATTAATTTATATACAACATTTTGCCAGCCAAGTAGCAGCAATTAAGCATTATCCCTTCACCTTTAAAGAGACTATTCTATATCCCTTCAGTCTTGGCATATACATTTTCTGTGACAAAAATAAACCAAAGCAACTGACTATTTATCAGTGTGCAAAAAAGCACAGCCTAGGATGGGATACACAACCCAGTGTCCATGCTCCCTGTTTGCTATATACTGCTACCCTGACATGCAGAATATTTGCACAAATACAGGGATCCCTCAATGGCACAGGAGGTAGCACTTGCAGCCTAGACCAGCCCTAGTCTGCACCTTCAGAGACCTATTTCACACCAGCTGGATGTTAACCTAAATAGCATTTACCTGAGTTTCAAATAAATTACACACTCTTTGTCGTAACTTCCTGATTCAGAGCACAACAGCACTATCACTTCGGTCTATCCTAAAGCGAGGGCAAAATTAATTGTGTAAGGAAGTCGAAGTGGATGCACTGGGAATGCTAAGTGAGGAACACACATAATCATTTAAAGAAAAAGCAGTTTGATCACAGACAATGCATTTAGGTAGTTACAGCCCCAGTTATTTAATTTCCAGCTACTCAAGACTATGAGACCACAACCTGAAAATTTATTCAGTTACTTTTGGTTTGTGGACAGGTGCTGAACTAGAGGATTTTATTTTTCAATGGTTAACTGATCAGAATATGCTTTTCATTCATACTGGATTTTTAGATTTTACTGTTAATGCAGAAAATATGCATAATACTGAAAGCTGAAGGGGCAGTGTCAAATAAATGGAACTTAACATCAAAATAGCCAGGCCTATTGCAGTTTTTTGTATCTTTTTATATTTAATTACCTGAAAACTTCAGAATTTCAATTCACTGACAAATAACAGATTCATTAACACGAAATTATGATTTTCTGTGGTGTTTCATGTTCTTCCAGAAGGCTGACTTCAGAAACATAGCAACTTTGGAGGGGGAGGGTGCCAAGAAGGAAACAAACTGAAAAAACCTTAGCTTACCTCACCAAAAGCAAAATTCCCTGTTCAAATTCAAACTGAATGGCATATTGGAGGCAAGAATAGAACAAGGATTACATGAAGCAAATTGTATGAATGATGACTTGAGGAACATGGCAAAGAAAAAGCCTCAAGGCTGGAGACACAAACAAACCAAATATCTGCATTAATTCAAACAAAACATGGAAAATGTTGACAATGTGTTTACATAGCCTCTTGAAAGACAGGCAAATAAATAGGATCTATCAATCATCAGAGGGATATGCCTTTTTTTTTCCTGCCAACCTTCTGCATCATCAAGTTCAGCATATTTTACCTTCTCAAACAAAGTTAAGTACAACAGCCCTGATGCCACGAGCATGGCAATATTGCTCAGCTGTGCCTGGCCTCTCTGCTACTGAATAATCTATTGTAATCAATGTATTTAAGAACAAACCCAATACAGTTTTCATGATGGCAACCTGAGGAGCTATACTAAAATTACAGTTAATTATGTATGTATATGCAGGGGTTAGGTGTGGCATGAAATTGCTCTGTAGTTTGCTAGGCAGACAAAAACTAACTGCACTGACATTGCAAAGCAAAGAGGTGAAATTTCGCTTTACTCATATCTCATAGAAAGAAACAGCTTTTCGGTTTTTTACTTATACAAGTTTAAATGACACTGATATCCATCCACACAGAAATGAGCACTGAATGCTGTCATGTTACAGGAGAACTGCAGCAGTGTGCGAGGAACATATACAGGCCCAGTCCTCCATAATGTCAATCTTGTATATTCCTCCATGATAATCCCTGGATGTACAAGGGAATGCACCATGCTAATGGCCACTCCATTACTTTCTTTACTGTGCCAAAGCACTTATAGTGAAGGCACAACTTTTCAGTAGCTCACGCAGGAACTTTTGTTCTCTTCTGGTCAGGCTAGTACAGCCGTCTATTTTCTGTTTATTGGATTAATTCTTTTCCTTTTGACTTTCTCCCTTCCTTTCATACACTGTGAAAGGTTTTGGCTGGGACAGAGCTAGTTGTCTTCATAGCAGTTTGTATGGTGCTGTGTTTTGAACTTGTGGCCAGAACAGTGTTGTCAGCATCAAGGCCACCTCTTTCTGACACCACCCCACCACTGAGTAAGCTGAGGGTGCTCGAGGAGTTGGGAGGGGACACAGCTGGGGGAGCTAGTCCCAAATGACGAGCAGAATATCCCACACACACCACATTACATCAAGCTGATCAATAAAGCTGGGGGAAAGAAAGGGGAAAGAGGAATGGTCTGAGTAACAGTGTTTGTCTTCCCAAGTAACTGTTACGCACAGTGACTCCCTACTCTCCTTGAAATGGATAAATAGCTGCCTACAGGGGTTAACCCACAACTGACACAAAATACTCAGTTTTTAGA